AGTGAGCAGATATATTTAAAAGACCCATATTACGCTATGATCTGATCTATGTTATAATGTTGTTTAAACATGACAAATCTACTTGGAGTTGTGTTTTGTTTCATTCACACAAACTCTGCATGCTCATGTCATGTGGTAATACAAGAAGTGCTCCACTGTGCTCCACCGAGAATTGAAAATATCTGTTGAACAAAAGGTAAAAGTCTAATAATAAAGGATTAATCACACATGTGTGAATGAAACAAAACACAACTCCAGGTCTGTTTTTGAGGAGGTAACAGCATCATAACATGGCTTAAAACTCACAAGAATCATTTTTGTGTAATTTAGGAACTTTAATGGTGGAAGACCCAAGACATGCTATATAGGTCGCCAGGAAGAATAGATGGTAGCTAAGGTCAATTAAATACAATCAATCAATGAACCTGCCCAGGGACTACAGGTGGAAATAGCACTGGTGCTACAACCTGGTACAAGCATCTCTCCTGTTAAGGTTAATGTATATTGTGTGCTCTCCCTGTCTCATTATATAAATAAATAAGAAAGGGAAAGGGCTTTTTTTGATTTATTGATCTTTCTCTTCAATCCTTGCCCCATCTTATGCTGTATAGATACAGTGTACAGTTGTATAAATATCTATCTTTCTTTTATAAAGAAGCATTACATGGAGCTAAATGATTGTGGGAAAGACGGACTGGCGTGAGCAGAGTTGTGTTTTAGTTTTAGTTTTTCCTCGAGTGATGCAGAAAAGAGGGAGCCACTGTCTGCGTGAGTATTCAGTGTATGTTAACTTGAGCTTTCTTGTTGATCAGCCTCAAAAAAAGTGCATTTGAAATTTCAGTTCAATAGAAAACACTTCAACTTCTTCCTTTATAATCACAATGAAGTATTTGATGATTTCTTGTCATTTCATATTTCAACAATATGAAAAGGCTTTGAAAATGAAACTCCCGACTGCTGCAGTAAAAAGACATTCAGAGGCTGGTGATTATGAATTAATGGATTTCAGTCAGGTGATAATTTGGCTCAGATCATTGACTCCACAAGTTTCCTGTGTATCTCACTGTCAAGAATAATTGGACATGTGTTGTTGCTGTTCATTTTAGGACTCTGGTACAAGGCTCTGTGCCTTTGAGCATTATGTGCCGAATACATGAAACATGCATTATTTTAGGCTACAGGGTCATGGTATGATAGCCTCTTTGTTTGCAAGAGGGCAATGGTGAAGTGATGAAATACTCTATTTTGTTACTTCAATAAAAGTACACATACATACAAGTCAAAGTATCAAAAAAAATCTACTTTGGTAAAACTATTAAAATACCCGTTGTTGTAAAAATGCACTTTAAGAGCAAAAAAGTACAAGTATTTTGCAGAGATGTTAAGAACAATTAAGGCAACAAATGTAGAGGTTTTGCTGATTTTAAGTGATTCAATTGATTTCTTAATTCTTCCAGCTTTTTTTGTGTGTATTTGTGTACTTGGTTTGCTCATTATTTGGACAGTAACTCAAATTAAATGTGGCAAAAACTAAGTCTCAGTTATTTCAGCAGGTCACAAACCATAAAGAAAAGTTTCAGTCCATATAAAATGTAGTGAAGTAGAAAGTACAGATACCTGCTCTCAAATGTAGTAAAGTAAAAGTAACAAGTATCCAGGGTAAAAAAAAAAGTACATATCCCTATACCCTTATGTGCTTTTTCACATTTTCTAATCCATTTTAAATACATTTTCAATACTGCTCAGCTCAAATGGAATTATTGCCATTTTTCCAACCTACAGCTGTTCAATATGTCATGTTTGACTAGTACTTTGAAATAGTGAATTCACTGACAATCCTTTAAAGCTCTTTATAATTTTTTCCACAGATTAACTCCATGTACTGAAACAGAAACTGTGTTCTGAGTTGATTGAACTTGAAATTATCTGTTAGACTTTAGATCCCTTGTCTGTAACTAAACATATTTTGAAGATTGGGTGGTAATAGTTTTTATTTGCTTTAAACACGATTTGCATTATTTGTAATTGAACAAGATCATATAGTTTTAACAGTTTTGATTGTGGAAAAAGTGAATTTGTGTGATTCCTGTACCCTACTTGTAAACAATAATGGTAACAGACAGCAGATACAAGTAGCACATACAAGTAATGGTAATAGGCAGTGCATAGCAACAATGGTAAGGAAACAACAAGCATAAACAAGCACTACAGAAGGCAGTATTGTTCTTTAAGACCCACTCTCTATGTACTGTGACCAGACCATATGTTTATATAACAGCTTGAAATGATGGAGAGTTTGGCATTGCTTGAGATGTGTATCCAGACTGTTCCTGATTTTTAAACCACATATAGACACACAGAAACTTTTACGGGTAGTTCGAACATTAGGCAATTTGAAATGTCCATACCCTCTTTGATTGACTGATTTGTTTTTGTTTCCAGTTTGTGCAAAGAGAGAAACAATAATCATGTATACTACATATACATTGTAAATAACAGAAAAGCACATTTCTCGAAAAGGAGTGGGAAAAAGAACAACTTATATGAACCCACCTCTATTCATGACAGTTTCAAAAATTATGTGGTTAAATTATTCTCTCTCTCATTTTGGACAAGCTTTGTAGATTACTTGGTAGCAAACTGTTGAATGTTCTAAATAAAATGACCAGTGTATAATATTTTACAAGGTCAGGAACCTTTAGGAGCTTGGACTGCTTATGGGTAGTAGTTGGCTGGTATCAAATTGATAAAAAAATAGGGACACCTGGGACATTTCTTGTATAAAACTGGGACAAATCAATAGTTTTGGATAAATCTGCTGTGACAGGGGACACAGGGCTCAAAACTGGGACTGTCCCGTGCAAATAGGGACGTCTGGTCAACCTATAGAAACTGGACGCGCCCGAACTGCGAGCTCACCGGAAGTACGCGGTCCCGCTCGGAGAGGTGTTGTGCGCATGCGCAGACTCGGCTCTCGGAGGAACAGACGGCTCCCGTTCACCGAAGGATTTTATTCTCTAGAAAAAAGGTAAACAAAACCGTTATTTTGCGGAATCGAAAATATCATGAATTACCAAATGCATTATATGTTATCACTACATCCGATCTTTGGCGTGTTTGAGTATACCGGCTGTAAATGTTTTATTCTGTTGTCCTGAGTAGTGCTAACCGGTAAGCTAGCATTAGCATGTAGAATCGACAAGTTGAGCCTTCCTCTGTACCTCTGTTTCCTCAGGTTTTGTTTCATGCGTCGCCCCGTGTCCCTCTGGCCACACCGGTCTGTGAATATCCCGCTAACATGCAGGCCACACGTGCTGGTCTAGTGTTAATTTTATGCTTTTATTTTGTACATAAGCGCGGCGAAAACAAGGGATGCTCTTCATTAAAGGTCCCTGTGCAACTTTCTGGAGGAGGAAATGCCAATAAATGCAAAATCAGCAGCAACAATCCGTTTTTTTTTCTTAATTGTTTGTTTTTTAATGTCATTCTGTAAAATTGGAAAATAAGTGGTAGTGTGTTTTCTTTTGCAGCTATATTGGATTATTTTTAATTGTACTTTCTGTTTTGTCTCGGCTGCAGCTCTTAGGAGCTCTTCATCAACAGTAAAGCTGTATAAGCTCCGGGTTGACGGGACCGAAGGAAGTGGCGTGTCATACGGGGAGCTGCCTGCTGAAATTGTCATGAGTTACAAACCCATCGCTCCTGCGCCATCTGGCTCCAACCACACCCCTCCAGGTTTGACAATAACGCAGAGATGTCAAAGTTTTGTAGTTTTGTTGTTTTAGATTTTATCATAATGATGCAATGCCTCTCACCTTCAGGCTCTTCTGTGCCATCTCCATCTCTACCATCATCCTCTAGTTTTAGACCAGCGTTTAGTGACTTTGGTCCACCATCCATGGGATTTGTTCAGGTATGCATCTCTACCGATTGAAAACACTGTAGGGTTTGTGTATTAGGAATGTTACTTATTATTTAATTATGGTTTTATGTAAGAATAGCCCAAATAATGTTAATAAAAGTGCACAGGTTTTCTTGAACTATTCAGTTTTGCAAACATTTGATTGCAATGAGCACAAATCTTAAATAAGGTCTATTTTGTTTTTTTTTTTTTTTTTTTAAACAGCCCGTAAAAGTATCTCAAGGATCAACATACAGTGAACTTTTGTCTGTAATCGAGGAGATGAGTCGTGAAATCAGGCCTACATATGCTGGGAGCAAAAGTGCCATGGAAAGACTAAAAAGAGGTATTTACTCATAAGGTCACATGAATAATTTCCATAGTTCAAACACAGAAAAGAGGGTGTCCATACACTGGTGTATGAATGCGTGTGAATGGCCCATAACTACTATCTAGCATGTTTTTAGCCTGCACTGTTACAACAAATGAACAAATAAATAAAATATAGTTCCTTTGTTGATTGTGAGGACTCAAGATGGATTTTATTTTTTTTTATTATTATTATTTTTGCAGGTATCATTCATGCCCGTGCTCTTGTGAGAGAGTGTATTGCAGAGACTGAGAGAAGTGCACGCACGTAACCTTTAAGGATCACCTTCCCTGTGTAATTCTGCATCAAAATGCCACTTAAATTTTTACAAAACATTTTTACTACAATTCTTCCTTTTGTTGGTATTTTATTAGTATAAAACTGTTGATTGCATGCCAATTCACCTGTGTTGCATTTCAGGCTTTAGCAAAAACAAAAAATACACAGCAAAGTGCTCATCATTAAGGGCACATGCAGTGCGTATTTATGGTGAGTGCAGAATTTTTTTTTTTTAAACCTTCATAGATGTAATGCTATCATTGTGATGTCCTATACAACCCCATGTGCACATTGTGAAACATTCTTGCTTTGTTTTTGCATTTTATGTACCCCTTTTGTTGAGAAATTTGTAATACTGTCAATTCTGTACATCAAATAATTTTGCAAGTATACAAATTTTGTAATCAAGATTTTTGCAGTTCAGTATGGAGTTTAATAAAATAACAAAAGAAATCATATGTGTGTTTATTAAAGAAATACATGTCAGATTTTAAGCGTGTAGATTATACCACATTGTAATGAAAAGCATAACATTGTACATAATAAAAAAGCTAAACAATCATCAGCCTTAATGTCACCTGAAGACGAAGATTTAATCAAAGTGATGAATGAAAATGAGTGAAATTAAGTTGATTACATGATTGGACATCAGCATTTGGATGTTCTTTTCAGTGGTTCCCAAAGTGTGGTATGGGCCCCTCCCCCGTGGGCCCTGAGGTTCAACGGGGGGGGAGCTCCAAATGTATATCTTTATAAAAAACATTTGGGGGGTCACGGTGTGCTCTGCACATTGGAAATGAGTGAGCTAATGTACTTGTAACATAATCCAACGTATTACACTTGATAAACGAAAACAGGCTATTTTTAAAACCGGCAAATAGATACATGTTCATATTACATCTAGATAAAAAATATACAGGTTTACTTAAGGTTGAGCCAAAAGTTGTACGTCATTATAGAGCCATCAGGCCAATGTTTTTCATACTTCCAAGTTAGATTTTTGGTTGGATGTTGTGAATTAAGTCCGGTAGTGGCCATAAAAGAATCAAATGCACTAACACATCTGCACACCGTAGTGACACCAGCTACTGACCGTGAGGTTCAGGGATGTATGGCTCAGGTGGGAAAACAAAGAGTCCGGCGGCATAACGGTTCTCCTTGAAATTTGTGGAAATACTGCACTTGTTTTCAAAGTCAACCCTGTGTAGAAATGAAAAAAACATGTATATATATTAAAAATGAGGAGATGCAGAAGCAGATTTTGACCATGTTAAAGTACTGACTGTGGTAGCAGTGGCAGGCGCTGTGTTGGAGTTGAATAGACCTTTATAGCGGCCTTTGTCTTCTTTCTCTTTACTGCGGATCCTCTCTTCCATCGCACGCAGCTCCTTGGCCACACAGGGTCCCAATGAAGGGTCTAATTGCAAAACTTTGGCAAAATCATCACGTGCTTCTTTTTCATTCCACACCGCAGCATGGGCCTTTCCTCGCTTATAGAAGGCCTTGACATTATCTGATGTAAATGACAATACACTGATTACAATACTGCTTTAAAAATATGAATGTAAAAAGTACAACTGAGCATAAACCACTGTATAAACTAAATGATTATTTGACTGTTAGCCTAGCTTTTAAAATAAGTTTAAGTAGGCCAGTCATGCCACTAACACAAAAACCCAAGCATAGATTTAAACCAGAAAAACTATTCTACATGTACAATATTATAATACATATATAAAAAAATAAGATGCAATAATAAACATCAGAATGAAAAACTTTAGTACTTAGTTTGCATCTGGAATGAGTCATAAAGTTGTTGATTCAATTGTTTATGGCTTAACTCATATTGTATAATCAAAAAATATCCAAACATTTCTCAGTAGTGCAAAGAAAAAAAAAATCAAAGGATTAAAAACTGACCCCAAAATAACATTTTTTTCAGATTTTATATTGAAAGATACATTGATATAGTGACAGGCCTAATGCTGAGCTATGGCAGCTGATGATGAACTGTACCTTCATATTTGAAGACCAAAGACGAGCAGTGTTCAATGACTTCATAGTACTGTTCTTGCATTAACTTGCACTGGCAGTAATTCAGTAGCAGAGGTGTGATCATCAGGTCCAGTTTGACCCAAGTCTCATCACCCGGTTGCTCCTTAACATCAAAAGTAATGCTATTTTAATAACACAATACAACACAAAATGCACAAAAGTAAGGTTAACTAACTAACCTTCATTTGTAGATTTTTCAGACAAGCTATGCCATTGTAGTACTTTTCTGAGGCTTCAGGTATTTTGCCCTCTTTGAACAGCTGATTGCCCTGCTCGTGGATTTGAGGCACAAAAGACAATTTCTCCTCATCTGTCATTGCCCACAAGTCAAGCTGGAAAGTTCCTGGAGGCAGTACCTAAGGAAGTTCAGGAGAGAGTTAAACTGAATAATAGACTGTATATTGAAATGGACATAGCTAACCCACAAGCCACCACGTTTTAAATAGGAAGTGAGCACGGCGGCACTTTCGGCTCCATCAGTTCTTGTTCCAATTGACTTAACGTTAAAAAAACATCACCCCTTTCCCGTCTGCTGCTATGAGCTTCATCATTTTGGTCTTAACATATTCATATTAATCCGCTCTGCATGATCCAGGTGTTTTTATTTTGCTATTTTGTACTTAAATAAATTCCTATTTCTAATACAGAACTCAGCTCCTATAACTGCTAGCCTCCTGAGCTTCATTTGACTGGAGCCGAACATGGTGATGCCACACTCTCTTACTCTACTTCTTTATAATCTATGTGCTGAAGGTATTATAATTAGAAATATGCTAAATATGTATAAGAAAAACAAAATAAAAAACAGTAATTCTTTTCAACTCACTTCCAGAAGTTCTAGTGTGAATACAAGAGGCTGTGGATGCGCCTGAAGATTGTCCAGGTCTTTGTTGCCCAGAGAGTGATGGGAGTGGATCTGAGCAATGCCACAGCAGTGCCTCTGTCCCTCCAGAGGGTCTTTACCAACACTAATGTTTCGGAGGGACTGGGACACCAATGGGTAAAGAGCCGTATGCTGACGAAGAGATCAAAGAAATTATTATCAAAGGAGGCAGATTTTATTCAAACACGGACTGGTCAATGGCCGAATGTTACTGATTTGCAGGAAGTAGTTTTTTCACCCATGTACGGTGAATTCAAGGCACCATACTTAATTAGCAATACGTGTGCCTATGATTTTGTACACTTGTTCATATATATACTGTATATAGATGTGAATGAAATGTAGCTCATTTAATGCAAATGCAATGCAGATATGTTTAGAAGCTGCATTCTTCAGCAAATTTTAAACACATTTATTGGCTGCCATTTCTTTGTATTGGATAAATTAGCTTCAAAATACCTTAGTATCACAGGTAAAGGCTGATATTTCGCCTGGTCTCATGGTGATGATCAGTCTCTCCCATACTGCCAGCTTGAACTGCTTGCCCAGGATTAGCTCCATGGGTTTACTACGCCCGCCCATGGTCCGGGAGTCATCCAGCAGAGTGCCATCACACAGATTGGTGCGGTAGTGGAAAATCACCTGGAAACAAAATACCAGCCAGTGTGTTAACACTAATACATATAAAACTTTAAATCAATTTAAACCAGAATAAAGAAAAGATATGTACATTCAAAAGTATACTGGTTTAAACTTTAAAGCTGCAGCAACCGTATGTATGACATTAACAGAAATCTTCACTTCTTTCCTGTTTATTGCACACTTGCACAGGAATACACCCATAACTATGAACAAGGTTGATTTTACCCATACAGTGTTATGTGCACTTTAACCATTCAAATACACAAGGGATGTTTATCCGAATTTACTTACGTTTTTTCTTTTACAGAATATGTGCTTAAAACGGAATTGCATTAGACGTTTTAGCTGAATGAAAAAAAAAAAATCCAAATAATTAAAGCTTTCTTTTGTGTTTGTGTTTTGTTTTTCCACCCTCTCTGAATGTGGAGCAAGAGGAGATTGCAGGACAGATAGAGATTGCAGGATAGATTGTATCGTGTGTATGACTTTCCTCTGTTCTAACAATTAACAAAGTTTAGCTAGAAGTACACCAGTCGATATCTAACAAATTAGCTTTGCAGTGACTTTTAGTTATGGGTACTCTTGTTTAGGGTTTTATAATAATGTCGGCGTTTGTACTGTAAACTAAAAAAAATAAATAAATAAAAATTCCCCGTCAAAGTCGGCAAAAGGATTTTGACCAATAAGAGACGGTCTTAAGTTATTGACATGTGCCACGGTCCAATCAGATCTCTGAAAACAGCACACCAAGTCCCGCCTACACATTTTCTTCTTTACATGAAAAAAAAAACAGTAAAATACAACTAAATCAACAATAAATCAGTCGTACAGCACAACCAACACGTAGATAAAACATGCGCAGTTGCGAGTTGTAAAGTACGTGCAAATGTAACCTCATAAATGAACACATAGACCAGGAGATCTTGTGTTAGCATAAGCTAGCTTGTTCCGTGGTTTATTTTCATTACGGTTTGATAGAGCATCGATCCCTCGCCCAGACGAGACTCCACTCTTACCTTGGTCCCATTTGGAAATCCAGGTAGCTCTCCTTTGCCTGGGCTGATAAGTTTCTTTACTATCCCTTCTTCCAAAAGCTTTCGTGCTACTTCCTCCATCCTTAAGCGTATCTGATTTTACGACAAATGACGATGATTGCCGAGTCTCACCAGGCCCACAGTCAGACATGGATAAAATGGCTAAATGGCGCCCCCACTGTGTTCAGAGACTCACTGTATATACTTAAAGTGCCGTAAACCACCAAGATTTAAGCCATGATTATTATGTTGTTACAAAAACATACCTGCAGGTTTTTTTTATTATTAGTCTATCTACATCTCCAGAGCTCAAAATGCTCTGCTCTACCTTGTGATGTCATGAAGTAGTAGTTTTCAACTTGACAGCTACTTTTTACCTTTAGTTCAGTACAGATTGGCAATTCCAGGGCTGAAATTACCCAGTGACTAGTGAAGGTGCATGACATCATGAGGTTTTCAGTTCGAGAGAAGACCTCATATAAATTTGCAGGGTTTGTGTGAATGAAACAAAATACAACGCCATGAATGTTTTTGATTAGGTAACAACATTATAACACAGATGACAAATAGGTGTAATATAGGCCCTTTAAAGAAAGAAATCACACATCATAGATTGTATACCATACACATATAAACTGACATTAAAGACACATTTTATTGTAATTTCACAGTTATAGTTACACAACAGAAAATATGTAGAAAAATACACATAGAGAATTCATGTTCATTTGGAAACATTGTAAAATGCACCAAGTGGTTGAATTAGTAGTGGTTGTTACCAGTGCCACACATAAAATACATAGTAAAATGGCAATTAAAATGTAGTGTTCAAAAGACATCACTTCTCAAAATAAGGCAGGTAGAACAATTTGAAGCCTCTTCTCCCGCGCACAGCACAGCTTATATAAATGACATGGTACACTATACATAAAGACAACAATACTGTTACATTCATGTCAATATAAATGTAGTTTACGTAAAATAAATAATAAATGTGTAAACTTTACCTCCAGGAATAAAAAGAAGAAACCCAGGAACAAAGAAAATGGCACTTGAAACTCCTGCAACAGAAACAAGGCCAGTGGTGATTCAACATCCACACACACTAAGAGATAAGTCTTCATCAATAAAGATAGTCTCAAGAATGACATTAGAGTTTACATCATATCAGAAATAGTACACTATGTATTGTCAAATCACAAATAAGCTTAACAATACCAAAGTGTCAAAAATATAATTCTTTTTCCTACCTGCTTTTGGGTTTAGCTGTATGACAACACCAGTGAAGATGAGAGCTTAAAAGAGAAATATACAAATAAATTCAGAATCTAGAGTTTAATGGCTGTAATAGTACTACGAACAAAAAAATGATTGACATCAATTGAATAAATTATAAATAATTGCCTTTATTAACCTCTTAAACAAATTATCCATTTAGAGCTGTAACTCAAGTTTCAAGATTAACTTTATTTGGCTACATGCCCATAATTAATCATTTTCCTAATTAAACTCAACAGAAAGCCAATTCTATTCTGACGCATTTGGTAATGGCCATATTATTAGTTTTTTTTTTTTCTTTGACAAACTTACCAATTCCAGTAATAAGGAGAAGAAATGAGGCGAGTACAACTTTTTTATTGTTTTTGATCAGCGGGTGAGAGACCCACCTGAAAAACATGTCAAGGCAAATTAAATTTGTTGCTGTTGGGTATATTTTGATCTTGGCTGAATGTTACTAAAATTACCCGCAACAGTGTGCAGAGAGCTGTGTAACTGAACTTAAGGTGCTGAAAGACCACTGAGAGCTGCAGTAGGACAGGGCCGAAGGATCACTGTTAAAAAAGATAAGAGAAAAATCTCAGTGCACTGCCCCCTGGCTATTATACCGACTCAGTACTTAAAGGTGCACTGTGTAACTTTTCTGATGGAGAAACTGTCATCAGCTTCTCTCCATGGAGATGTTGCCTGTAATGTATGGCATTACACTTATCTCTTTGCAGACAGCAGGTAATGCCGTAGGGCCAAGTCAGATCTGTGTAGACGCGACTCCAGTCACAGTAAGATGTAAGTATTAAGTCAGTAAAATTGTTATTGAGGTAAATGCAAGATGGATGTGTTTATATGTCAGGAATATTACAGACCAAGCAACAACATCTCCATGGAGACAAGCAGACAGCAGACCCTAAACCAGAAAAGTCATACAGTGCACCTTTAAGAAGTAATTTTAACTTACTTAATTTTAAAGAAGTTATTAAAAGTAGAATTTCCATTACTGCCAAGTGTTTCTTCATTTTCCAGATTCTGCAAAGACATACATTAGAATACTTTAAAAGTCCTACATTACATACAAATATAATACAAAATTGATTCTTGTGAGCTTTAAGTCATATTATAATGCTGTTACCTCATCGAAAACTTACCTGGAGTTGTGTTTTGTTTAATTCCCACATGTTTAAGTAACCCTTTATCATTAGTCTGATTAGATTTACATGTTAAACAAATGAAACACATCTGCAGGTATGTTTTTGATGAGGAAACAACATTATAACAGATCAAAAAGTTGTGCCTGTAAGAATCCACAGGTTCATGACGTGACAGATTCATACATGTCCTCTGGTTTACCTGGTACTTCAAATTGGTGTGCTCCGGGGCCCCAGTATTTGCAGGCAAGGGGTTGCTCTGTGGTTTAGAAAAGGACAGAGGGCCAAACGTCATGTCTCCAGTTTCTCTGTCCTTCTCCCGGCCTTTCCAGCTCTGCATGTCTTCGTCGGACACAGCCCCCTCCTCCTCACCCTCCAGCACAAAGGCGTCATCGATGCTGAACTGCGTTGCCATGGTGATAGCCTCTCACACCCCGAGTTCCTGAAGCCTAAAGCGCACTAAAGCACAATGCACACAATTAGACTACAGGCACTAAAGCACAGCATGCACAACTGGACTACAGGCACTAAAGCAAAATATACAACATTTAGATTATAGGCACTAAAGCAAAATATACAACATTATACTATAGGCACTAAAGCACAATGCACAGATTTATACTATAGGCACAAAAGCACAATGCACAGAATTAGAATATAGGCACGCCAGTACCCGTATAGAAAGAACAAATATAAACATAACGTATCAGATCACCTCAGTTGACTGTAAAATGTGATGAGGCTCTTTAAAGCTGTCTGTATGTACGGCTGCGCATTAATTCCTTAAGTAATGTGTTATGTGGAAGTAGGGAGGGAAATGTTCTTGTTCATTTGAAGTAAGTTAATGTTAGGTTATTTCAGACTCGGAGAACAAACAGTGGTAGATTAATCCAAACAGTGTATATATTTTTTTAAGTTTAGTCAATATAGGACTAACATCTACGTTGTTGTAGATTTCTGCCATTGTTGTACTCTTTTCCGCTAGTCGGTCAGATGACCAACAAGTCTAACAACTTACTGTTTTAAAAGGTTTCCTCTCTGCAACACGGATCCATCCATCTATTTTCTATTTACTAATTCTTCACATGATTGTCGTCGCAGTTAGCACTGTACTAAAAACATAAAAAATATGAGATTATTAACAACAACAAAGCTTTTCAAAAGTTTGCTCTTCCTCAGCTTTTTAACACCCGGCTCTCGATTGCTAATGTCTGATTCCGCCCAAAGTGCAAAGAGCCAGCCACCGCAATCGAACATAGAGTAGTCGATCTACAAAATATCTAAGCCTATTTATGGATATTAAAATACAGAACGAAATGTTTATGCTTACCAAGTGTTCTGAAGGAGATCATGATTTAACAACCACACCTGGGTTTTCCGTGGGTATAGATCCACTTTATATAATTTATAGCCACTGCTGGAATGGCCTTTTATAAGATTGCCGGGGACACACACCTTTACACAATAAGAAAACAACAGGTATCTTATACTTAATTAAAAACGAAATAAATCAATGGGGAAAAAAAAAAAAAAAAAAAACAGACCACAAAACAAGCCTATAACTACGATGGGGGTGGGGCAATAATCTATGAAATATATCAGCAATTTTACAGTATTCCAATTGAAATTCCAAACTGAATTACAAAATATCCTGGCAATAAATTGCCAAATTGAGAAATCATGTGGTTTCCCGAATGTGGTCAGAACACCACATTATGCAAACAAACACGTCTAAACCAACAATCACTGCCACAGATAGGTCATTGCTGTGTAACTATTACAGGCAAAACTGGAGGTTTAAGCCTAGTTAATTTCAAGAGCTTGTAGAGACCCCGGACACAACATTCTGTGATGGTATGATCACATTTTACCATTTATAGACCAGTGATTTCCTTAAATTATCAAGATGTTGTTTTTACTCTTGTTAATAGATTAAATATTAGTATTAGACCTGATGAAGATACTTTTTGCTAATGTGTTGAACTTATTTATTTAGATGAATCAGTGGATAATTTGTCTCATACTGAAGATCCTTTTTGAGGTAAATGTATATATTTTAATTCTTATAAAATAATAAATTTTTCAGTAAAAATCTCGGTTTTAATTTTGTTTATGTCTAGTTGTGTGCAGGCACAAGTATCAGTGTAGTGCCTGGATCTAAACTGGAACTGCCATGTTTTGCATTCCCAACAGACTTCTCAGAAGAGCACATCACCTGGAAATTCAATGGTGATTAATTATGAGACATGCATTTAGAAAACAAAAGAACAGCAACAGTAGGGTAGTAGTTTTGCTGCAGCAACATTCACACTGCTTCTCAGTGGCCTTTGTGTCTCAGTCATAGGTCACAGGAGGACTAGTCAGGGAGGGTCAGTAGATCTGTTTCAGGGTAGTTTGAGGAGAGAAGTACCAAAAATGTCCCTCTTCTGTGTCCCGCAATAGTACGACTACAAGTAATAGTAGTAGTTTCATTGTATATTGTATTTATATAGTATAAGGTGACCTTGACTGTCTTGAAATGTGTTCAAACACAATGTAGTATTATTATTTATTGTTAATAGTTTTTCATTGTACCATACAGATGAGGACATCATTTCCTCAGATTCTGTGGAAATCACTGGCACACACCTGTCCATATATCCCGTAAGTAATGCACATGAGGGCAAGTATGTGTGTTCAGCGAGGGACCCATTCCTGGATACAGAGAGGAGAAGATCTTATTCCGTGTCCGTCACAAGTGGGCTTTCATTTGTGAAGAATATTTTTATAATACAGAACTTAAATCTAAACTTTTTTTTCCCCTGCAGACTTAGTCAGATACACTGTTGTGGTCAGAGAAGGAGCCAGCGCCCGTCTTCCATGCAATTACCAATCTGATCACCAAATCAGGGGCAACGCAGAGTGGTTCAAACTTACACTAATGAAAAATAAAAAACTGTTGACCCATCGTAATGGTACAGTCAGTAAAGATGGAAGAGCAGTGCTGCTCTTCGACATGGACCAAGACCAAACAATGTCCCTAAATGAAGTGACCATGACAGACGAGGGAAAGTACAATTGTATATCCACTGATGGCTCTACGCTCAGCACAGTTGAGCTAGTTGTGATGTGTAAGTTTTTTTATACAACAAAATGTATAAGGTCCTATATTACATAAAACTGACTTGTTTGTAAGCCTTAAGCCATGCTATAATGCTGTTACCCCATCAAAAATGTAACTGGTGCTGTGTTTTGTTTCACATATGTTTGAATAACCCTTTATTATTAGTCTGTCTACATGGTCAAAGCTCAAAATGCCCTGCTCCACTTTGTGATGTCATGAAGTGGTAGTTTTCAATTAAACAGCCACCTTTTAACTTTTGTTCACTAAAGACTGGCAATTCCAGGACTGAAATCATCCAAATGATTCCAGTGAAGGTGTATGGAGTTTAAAAACAAAGTGGAGCACTTTCTGTATTACCACATGACATCACAAGGTGGAACATAGTGTTTTCAGTTTGAGAAAATAATAAGCAAGATTGGTGAGTTAAACATGTGTAAATGAAACTAAACAAAACTCCAGGTATGTTTTTGATGTGAAAACAACATTATTACAACATAGATCAGAAAATAGCATATAGACGCTTTAATCAAAACTGGTGTCCATTTTCCAGCTGCCCCCACCCTTCCTCCTCACTCCTGCGATGGCTTCACTGACCCCTGGGAAGAGTGTGAGGGCGACAATGAAAACTCGCGTGTCACTGGCCCTGTTCTGAGAGAATCAGTGACGGAGTTTTCATTTAAACTTTATTCGATCTTTGGAGAATCCCAACAACACAAGAACCTGCTCTACTCGCCCTTAAGCATCACTGGAGCTTTGACGCATTTGTTGCTAGGTAAAAGAATAAGGATCCTTAATTAATGTTATTTTATATAAACTTGTATCTGCCTTAATCGTGCATTGTGTAACTTTTCTGGTGGGAGGGTCTGTCACCTGCTTGTTTCTATATGTCATTGCTCTGCCTGAATGTTCCACAGTATGGCATTAAACAGCTCTACCTTTCATTATTACAGGTGGTTTTATGGCTCAAAAATAGAAAAACATGCATTTTAACTGTGAGCGGGATTGCCTCTCCACAGATCTGACCTGTAACTTGGTTTGGTTTGGTCTCCATGAAGATCGAAAGGTTTAATATCATACTGTGAAACATTCCAGACAAAGCAATAACATCTCCATGGAAAAAAGCATTCGACAGAACCTCCACCAGAAAAGTTACACAATGCACCTTATTACTAATTTCACAAAATTATAGTTAACAACACATTTTTACTGGTTACTGGTTGGACTTGGGCAGAACATAGAAATAATATGGACAGCAGATGTACTATAAGTAGAGGTACCTATGAAAATGGTTACCTAGCAACCATGATGTTAATTAACAAGGGCCAAAAATACATTAGACAAGAGTTATGATTAGCCTAATAACATAGAGACCAACTTTAAACTTTTTCTATAAATATTGAAAGAAAATGTGATCCTAGCGCTGCACATATTGTTTTTTAGATTTTTTTTAGATACATTTGATTGAAAATAGGCAGAGGAATTCAGTTTAATAAGTCAGCACTGCTTACTGTATTTTTGTATTTTTTCCCTACACATTTTTAAAAGTATCACATAAAAAAAAAGAAAAAGAAAAAGAAAACACACATTTGAAATCTAATAAATCTTCAAATGCAGTGATTTTGATACAGATTTGTTCAGAAATTCAATCAATTGTGTTATTTTTCTAGCTGTTTTTATTTTTGTATATTTTTGTTTGATCAAACTACAAACTTGATAAAAAAAAATAAACCCTCAGGCTTTTCAACAGGTCTCAAACTATAATAAAAATATTTTTACTTTTCAGTCCTGTTCAAAAATGTAGTAGAGTAGAAAGTACAGATACCTGCTCTGAGATGTAGTGAAGTAAAAATACAGTAAAAAGTATCCAATTACCTAAAAAAATGTATGTTACTGTTTTTACTATGTTACGTTCAACCACTGAAAACTATAATATATATTTACCACAAGTATTATCCCACCAAATTTAGAAAAAAAAAAAAAATGAATACCCTACCTGTCATGCATTTAAAGGTGCACTTTGTAACTTTTCTGGTGCAGGGTCCGTCACTTGCTTCTCTCTTTAGGTATTGCCTCAAATGTTCCACAATATGGCATTAGACTTATTTATCTCTATCTCAGCAGGTGAAGCCATAGGGCCATGTTACATGTCACAGTAAGAATGCTCGTTTTTAGCTCAATAAAAAATGTTTAAAGCCACACAAGGACATTCCAGACAAAACAATAACACCAATGTGGAGTCAACACTCAACCAGAAAAGTTACACAGCACCTTTAAACCTTTTTTGAAACATAAAACTTGACATATTAAAAGAAAACTGTCTGATTTTGTGATGTTTAGGATCGAGGAATATAACCCGGGCTGCTCTGGAGGGGGCTCTCTTTCTCCCTCCCAGGTTCCACTGTGTTCACTCAGAGATGAAAAGGCTCAGAGAGAAATTGTCTGGATCTTTGCAAATGGCCTCTCAAATCTTCTACAACACAGGTATTGCATTTAATAAACTAAAAATAGCAGCAGTGGACAGTGCAAGCCTTTATATATGTATAAATATCTCTTCATAGAGTCCAATCTCACCACATCATTTGTAAAGCAGTCGGGTGAATATTATGACTCAGAGCCTGTCAAGCTGAAGGAAGACAGCCTTGAGAATGTCCACATGATCAACAGTTGGGTGGCGAATAAAACCAAAAATAAAATCACAGAACTGGTGAAGGATGTTTCACAACAGACTAAACTGATGCTACTCAATGCTGTGTCCTTTAATGGTCAGTGAATGGTTCATTATAGAAGCAGGTACTCTGTGGTTTAAAAATAAATATGGCTGTTGTGTTTTTGTTTTGTATTTTTCAGGGTTGTGGACCATAAAGTTTGATGAAAAGCCCTCAAAAGGATACTTTACTAAACTGGATGGCGACATGATCAAAGTGCCTACTTTGAGAAATGACGATTTTCAAGGATCTATGGTGTTTGTACCAGAGCTGAAAGCACAGGTAAAATGTGTTATATTCACAGTTTTACATTAGGCTGAGGATTCATGTGGGTGGAGTAATTACAGACACATTAGTCGTAAACAGCATTTTGAAAGACACACTCAGTTATGAAATAAAGATGCTCTCTACTTGAGTTTTAAAGGTCCTACGATAAATTTACTCTTTAGGTCATGTTAGAATGTTGTTACTGCATCAAAAACATAAATGTAGTTGAGTTTTGTTTCATTCACACTCATCCATCCATCTTTTTCCACTTTACCCGGGGCCAGGTCTGGGGGCAGCAGTCTGAGCAGGGAGGCCCAGACTTACCTTCCACTGTTCATTCACACATGTTTGAGTAATTCTGCATTTTTAGTCTATCTGCATCTCCATTGCACAAAAAGCTTGTGACATCATGTAGTGGTAACTTTTGTTCAGTAGAGATTGGTCATTATCCAAATAACTCTAGTGAAGGTGCATGGAGTTTAAAAACACAGTGGAGCACTTACTGTATTACCATATGGCATCACAAGGTGGAACAGAGTGTTTTCTCTTTGAGGTAAGAACTCGGCCTAAATATGCAGGGTTTGTGTATATGTGTATTAAACTGAACAGATTCTTTAACGTATGGTTTGTTCTGAACCATTTCTTTGACAGTTTTGTTTACCTTTGGCAGAACACCTCCCATTGTTTGTGTTTTTCAGGTAATGAGGTTTGAGCTGACGGGGAACAATAGTCTGTACATCCTGCTGCCTCAGAGTCATAAAGCCAGTGACCTGCAGCAGGTGGAGTCGAGGCTGACAGATTCAGCTGTGCATCAGATGATCAACCAAATACGAGAAGCGGCTCCACAGCGCATCCAGGTCACCCTGCCCCAAATCAAACTCAACACTGAACAAGACATGAATGTCATGATCAAGAAATTAGGTTTGATTTTCACATCTCTCTCAATCTTATTCCATTATCTAAACATTATGTATATTTTACACTTTTCTTTCCACCACAGGGCTGTTCTCACTCTATGAAAGTCCCAACCTCTGTGGCCTGTACGCTGAGGAGCCTCTGGTGTTGGAGGAGGCCAAGCACAAAGCCTTTCTGTCTCTGACAGAGCAGGGTGTGGAGGCGGCTGCTGTTACCGCTATGGGCTTTTCTCGTTCTCATCTGTCCTTCTCCGCTCTGCGCCCCTTCCTCCTCTTACTGTGGAGCGACTCTGCTCAAGTGCCTCTGTTTATTGGCAGAGTGTTGGAGCCGTGAGGGTCCTGATGTGTAACAAAATATACACCAGTAGAAAAGTGTATATTTCCAGGAACTAATCTCCCTGATATCATACATTATGAGATTATGATTAAAACACTTAAAACAATGCTTCTGGTCTGCCTTCTATTCCATCTTTAATTGAAAGGAAGTCCAAAAACACAGAAACAACTTGATTTATTTTGCAAAGTACTACACAAACCGGCCACATGATGGCAGCCATGCCGCGTGATTGACCAACAGTGAATACACAAACTGTAATGATAACTCCTCATGTATTCCCTTCTGCATTGTTGACCTTCTGCAGTGTCACTAGTGACCAATACCAGTTTAAGAAACACAAGTGTGACCACAGGAAAAAGCTGTTAAAGCAGTAGCTCACTTTAGGCTTGAGTGAAGAAGCAAATACCCTGATTCATTGTAGTAACTGATGTAGCCCATTACACAGCAGCAGCAGCAGGAGAGAGAATGATAAGAGTGTCAACATATGAGCATTCTGCTGGATTAGCCAAGGTTGCACTCTTTTACAACGGCTCCTGATGATTGCAAAACATGCGTCTGTATTTGCAGATAAAAAGATTACATAAGCAAAGCGGGACTAATAGACAGGAGCCTGAAATATTTGGTGTCTGTAAACAAATCCACAAATCCAGCACAGCCCAGAGACAGAAATAGGCGACAGAAATATGAGCTCAATTTAATCACTGTCGCCCAGTCCGAACCCGAACGGCGAAATGATTCCCCTAAATGTGCTCCTGATTCACTGATAACTAGATGCTGTTTTGGTTTGATTATCTCATTGCGACGTGCTCGGGGTTTAGATGTGCATAGAGAAAACAGAAAACCCAAGCCTTGAATAAAGAATGTGTTATGAGCTATTTTTACATAAGCCCTTTTATACTCTTAACACATGGGGGATACAGTTTTCTGCTAAATTAACGAGACATTTACAAGGTCAGAGCGACTTCCGAGAATATCCGATCGATTAGACATTTTGAGAATAGTGCCCTCTCTGTTACGCAGGCCAAAAAGTTGTGACAAACGGAATGAAATAATACGTCATGTGATGTAATCGTCTCATCTGTGATTATCTGGTGCTCCCTGCTGGCTAATGTGTGGATTTTGCCTTTACCTCCTGGAGTTGCATTACAGGGCTCATCTTTCTCCAGGCTATAGCTACTACATCTCCAGTTTAGTTAAGTAAAAGTACAGAAACTGGAGCAAAACATACAGTATTACATGAAAAAATCTGCTTAAAGGTGCATTGTGTAACTTTTCTAGTGGAGGCTCCTTCAAATACTTTTCTTCATGGAAATGTGCTATTCATTTGACTGGAATGTTTCACAATATGGCATTAAACTTTTCTATATTCACTGAGACCAAACCAAATTGCAGGTCAGATTCTGACTGTTTATAGTATTTTTGAGCTATAAAACCACCTGTAATTGAATAAATGTAAGATAGAGCTGTTTAATGTCATACTGTGGAACATTCCAGGCAGAGCAATGACATATCCATAAAAACAAACAGGTGACGGACCCCCATCCAAAAAGGCACACAGTGCACCTTTAAGTATAAATATTAATATGCCAGTTTTCAAATGTACTTAAAGAGTAAAAAGTAAAAGCATTTCGTTCTGATTTGAGATCTAATAAATCTTCAAATGTAGTGATTTCGCAAAATATTTCTGGAGAATTTTGTTGAACAGAAACAACTGAATTGATGTTGCTGTTTTTCATTTGGATATTTCAGTTTGCTTAAACCATGAACACGTTAAAAAATAAACCGCCTTTTCAGCTGGTCTCAAACTATAATTAAAAAATACTTTTACTGTTTTGTCCTGTTCAGAAATGTAGTGTAGTAAAAAGTACAGATACCTGCTCTCAAATGTAGTTAAGTAAAAATAAAAAGTATCCACAATAAAAGGTACTTAAGTAAAGTACAGCATCCTAAGCTCTTTACTTAATGGTGCACTGTGTAACTTTCCATCACCATGGAGATGTCGCTTGCTTTGTCTGCAATTTTCACAGTATGATGTTAAACTTACTTATTTCCATGGAGAGAATGCATATTTTTCCATGTATTGTTTAATTGCAGGCCCGTCAACAGAAATTTGGGGGGAGGGCAGGGCAAAGAGTCACATAGGCCCCTGAAGCCCACGAGAACAGACAGACAGACTGTACAAAACCCTATAATTAAATCATAAGCAAGTTTAAGGGCATACTGTGGTGCATTCCAGGGAAAGCACACTTCACTACTTTTATTTATGTTACGTTCCACCACTGTACACTTCTTATGTCATATCTGAGTGATTTTCAAACATGATTTTGCCAATGTCTGTCACCCCACACTGCTCCTGCCCCTGTCCAGACCATGAAATATAAGCCACACACATGGATGTTAATAGGTCAGAAATAATGGAGTGAGTGGAACATTGATCACAACAATGGCTTCCACTGATAGCTCGTGTTAATTTTCCACACCCGCCTTCCCAGGAGAGAATCTCAAGCTGGATACAGATGATTATTATCCAATCAAAATGCTATCTTTCAAATTAATCTAGACGATATTTCCCCGGTGGAATAATTTACAGGTTAATATGTGACGGCCTGCGTAGAATAGAGGGACAAAATTTCACATGCAAGCACACGTGAAATAAAACTCTTAAAGGGACCATATTACGCTATTTTATGATCTATTATATAATGTGGTTTCCTCACCACAAACATACTTGGAGTTGTGTTTTGTTTCATTCACACACACACAAAGTCTGCATATTTAGGCTAAAATGTTCTCTCTAACAGAAAACACTCTGTTCCACCTTGTGATGTCAAATAGTAATACAGAAAGTGCTCTATTGTGTTTTTAAACTCCATACACCTTCACTGGAATCACTGATATTGCCAATCTCTACTAAACAAATTATAAAAACTGTCAACAAAAAAAATTGAAATAAACACTGCTACATGACATCACAAGGTGGAACGGAACATTTTGAGTTTTGGAGGTGTAGACAGAATAAACTCAAACATGTGTGAATGAATCAAAAACACAACTCCAGGTATGGTTTTGGTGAGATACCAGCATTATAACATGATTAAAAGCTCACAAGAGTCAATTGCGTGCAATGTAGGACCTTTAAAGGTGCACTGTGTAACCTTTCCACTTTTCTGCTTGCCTCCATAAACAAATATATCTTGTATTTATTCAATTACTTTATTATATTTTCTCAATATTATGACAAAAACGTGCTTTATTAACATGAGTGTGGCTTCTTGTCCATAGATCTGACCTCTAATTTGGCCTGGTGATGTGGCCTGGTGGTCTCCATGGAGATTGTTAAATTAAATGCCATACTGTAGAATATTTCAGGAAAAAAACATGAGTCAAGCAGGTGGTGGAGCCTCTACCAAAAAAGTTATGCAATGCACCTTTAAACTCAGTAAAAAGTTCATATTTCTATATTTCTATGTCGTATATATTCAATGTATGTTTGTTCAAAAGTTCTATGTCTGTAAATGACTAGTATTTAATTACATTTGAGCTCTACATGCATTTACAAAATTAAGAGTAAACCAAGGCCGACTGTTCAAAACATAGACTGTATACATAAGTGGACTAAGACAGTGTGATGCCGCCCACAGTGTTCGTCTCCAGTCAAATGAAGCTCACACAGGGTAGCGATTATGGGGTGAATTTGGACCCAGTTTCATTTTAGGAATAATAATGTATTCATGAACAAAATAGCGAAAAAAAAAAAAAAAAAAAAAAACAAGATCAAGTAGAGTGGGTTAAGATAAATATTTAAAGACCAACATGAGGAGCCTGACAGCAGTATTTACAGAGAGAGCGGCAATGTTTTGTCAATATAAAGTAAATTGGAGAGTCATTGGGTTAGTTATGTTCATTTATATATACAGTCTATGGTTCAAAAGCAATCGCCATGATTTATATTCTTAGGTCAAAAACACTGACACATAAAAGTGGTTGCCATTTTGAAGCTGCTGGACAAAAGTCTGATACAAATGATTGACAGCTTGTCAGTGTTTCCCAACATCAGCACTAGGACCACAGGGTTGTGTTGACGGCAAAGGGACTTTAATGTGTGTCTGTCGTGTCCTTTGTCATTTCCTCACACCTCTGAGCCTTTTTCCAGAGATGGACACATGAAGTTTCCAATGGAGCCGAAGTGAATCCAAACAGACAAAACTACACAGACAATGTAGGCACTCATATTTGCTAAAAGTCCATTGTGCGCATACACATAGAAACGGCAACACACACACACATGAGGATGTCTAGAAAGCCACTGTCACTTAAAGACAATGAAAGACATAAGAACAAGAATACTGAGACAGGTAAAGGTACAAATCCACCAAATGGATTTTTTGTGCTTTATAATGGTGTTGTTTGCATCAAGTCAACAACCACTAAATATCTGAATGTACCCTCTAAGCATACTGTATCTTAAAGACCACACCATGAAGTACGGCTGCACACATGCTTGGCCCAAATTCACTTGGAGACCTGGTTTTGCAAAGTTCCTTATTGGGTGAAGAATGACAGAATTATGAGCGACTTATATACACAATCTCGTGTGAATTTCTTACGGGGACATTGTCACGATTTTGCTTACCTTTAAAATATATTCAGATTATATCTTACCACTAAGACTAAGATTAGTATCAATACCATATACTAATACTTGGTCCAGTACGCATAACAATAAATGACAACTTCTATATCCACCATTATTGCATGTTTTAGCTTTGCTGTGGTTTTTGTCTTGCCTGGTCGGAGCTTTCAGGCATCTTTTAGTCAGGGCATATGTCAATGTGTGCATCTGTGTGTGTTTTTCTCAGCATTTTCTGTAATCTAGTCCGGTTTGTCATTGCTGGGGGCTCCTTGCTGCGTCAGTGTGTGCCAGTATTCCACTTTCTTCCCTTTGTTTTTGAGACAGTCGAACCAGTGTCTGAGTCTCTGTCCACTTGCATTGATCCCCAGCTCCACTCCGCCTGCACGGAAGAGACAAAGAGACAAAATGTTTAGATTAAAAGAAAGCTTTGGAAAATATATCTTCTTTTCCATTCAGGGAGGTGCTATGAGCTAGAAAAACAAAAGCCTAACACCTGCTTTATACAGAAATTACCACCCACAAACAAATGTAGAAGCAGACATTTTCTAAAAAGACGAATACGCACGTAGCTGGGAAGATTGCGATAACAAAAGATGTATTGAACGAGCTGAGGCACTGACTAGGATTGATGTCAGATCTGTTCGTATGCAGAGAAGCCGGATATGACTCCAAGAGAGGGGAAAGGAGGTGAATACACTGTAGACTGTCAAGCAAAGACGGTTAGCACTGCAGTTAGCCCGTTGACATTATCATCGTACTACTCCCTTGGCTGTGATTTCAAAGCTAATGGGGCAAGAAGTTTTAAACACATTATTTTGGTAATTCAGCTGCCACTGGAGCCTCAGAAATGATGGGCTCATGAAAACGCTGAAAACATGCCTTGGCTGTTGATCTGTGAATCACTGGAGCTTTCCTATTCCCCCGAGAGTGGCCGTGGGCGTACAGGGCCTGTCACAATATTTTACTATATCGCCCTATTGTTTAATACATGATAGATGGAGCAATTCCTCTTTAGAGGGCTATATTTATCAAGGGTAGTTTTTCTTTGTACTAGTGGGGGATGTTTTATTTTTCTGTGCTAGTATTTGAGCTGTTGAGAGTTGAATAAATAACTTCTTTTGACTCAGTATAGATGTAAATTGTGTTTAATTCTGCTACTTATTTAAAGAGTCTGTGACAGTAGAGCCTACAGGCGGGATCTGCCACTTGGGTGCAGTCTAACTATTGGATAGCGGTGACATCAGTCAATCTATAAAAGTGCTCCCTTTCCGTCTCTTACTTCTGGTTTCCCATTGTTGACACCGTTTGTTCACCATTCTCAGGTAGTATTCCAGATTCAGTGTTAAGTTCAAGATTCAATAAGGCCTGTAGCGTTGATTACTTGCTTTAATTTAGTGCTTGCTGCCATGGGCCTATGTTGCTACTGCGTTTGTGCACTGCCCATCATGCCGGCTTGCAGGTGGGCCGACTGTTTGGTGTCTGTCCTTGTCCAGCGACTTGTCCAGCGACTTGTCCAGGACTAATACAGCTTCAAAACTATCCCTTAGTTGTACAGTTGGGGCCAATGTGCATTTTACTTTATCGATCTTGAGCCATGGAGTTGAGAGCATTGTCGCCGTCTTGCTTTTTCTTGCCTTTTATGTGTACTGGTGTTTTCCAGAGATTTGAACTCGGACTGGATTTACAAACAAACTGCCTTTGGAACCAAGAGTCATTCAGTGAACTGTGAACTGAATTGTCCCAACTCTTGGAAATATTACTGTCACAATGAAGAAATTTATGGAAAATACATAAATAAACTGTATACTTTTGCTATATGTCAATTATGCCTCTGTTCATCCACATCGAACCTATGTGCCTTTTATATTAACTGGTACCAGATGGCGTTGTTGGTTCTTTTCCTTTATTAGATGTTATGTTAATGTTAATGTAAATGTTAATGGTAATTATTGGTTCAGCCAGTAGTTACTACAAGAAATCAAGGTAGAAGCAGTCGGACGTGCCACAGGTCTATATTACACTATTTTTTTTATCTATGTTGTAATGTTGTTTCCTCATAAAAAACATGCCTGGAGTTGTGTTTTGATTCATTCACACATGTTTAATTCACAAACTCTGCATATTTAGGCTGAGTTCTTCTGTCAAAGAGAAAACATTCTGTTCCACCTTGTGATGTCAGGAAGTGCTTCACTGTGTTTTTAAACTCCATACACCCTTACTAGAATCATTTGGTTGATTTAAGCACTGGAATTGCCAATCTCTACTGAACAAAAGGTAAAAAGGAACTGTTAACTTGAAAACTACCACTATATGACATCACAAGGTGGATCAGAGCATTTTGAGCTTTGGAGATGTAGACAAAATAATAATAAAAGGATTACTCACACGTGAATGAAACAAAACACAACTCCGGGTGTGTTTTAATGAAGTTACAACATTATAACACAACTTAAAGCTGTCAATTTTGTGTCATATAGGACCTTTAATGTAAATTATTATTAGTATTATCATTTCTATATCCTCTTCAGCAATATATCTCACTACAAACTCTATTATGACAAGTCTTATAGTGCAAGTGGTTCTTTTTCATCTTCAGACTGAGCAGAATCGCGCAGGTGTGGCCTTGGTCAGAGGGTTTTGACAGGGTAATCACGTAGACTGGTGCGTCACCTTCACCCGTGCCCCCGCGGCGCTCCCACTTCCACAGAGGAGATGGATGAGGTGTTGCCTGAGCCGACGGGGAGCGAGTGACAAACGAATGGTCAGCCAACGTGACGAGACGAACGGGGGACAGCAGAGGGATGAGACTCTGCTGGAGATCAGATATATGAAGAGGGGACTGTGCGGGAGGATGGCGACAGTCCAGAAGCTGTCTCCTGTTGGCTGTTATTGAATGTTAAAGGTTCTGTATTACACTAAATGGATGCTTGTGAGCTTTAAGCCATGTTGTAATATTGTTATCTCTTCAAAAACATATCCAGAGTTGTGCTTTTTGTCTTTATTATTAGTCTGTCTACATTTCCAAAGCTCAGTAGGCTCTGTTCCACCTTGTGATGTCATGTAGTGGTAGATTTCAAGTTAACAGCTACACCTTTTACCCCCTTTTTTTTAGTAGAGACTGACAATTCCAAGGCTTACTGTATTACCACATGACATTACACAGTGGACCAGTGTGTTTTCCATTAGAGAGAACAACTCAGTTTATATGTTAAACATGCGTGAAGTCCAGGTATGTTTGGGGATAAATTATTATTACATAGATCAGAAAATAGTGTAATGATAAAAGTAAAAATTGGTGGGCAACTCAGATCTCAGATTTCTGTTTATATGTGATATTTGAGGACTTAGCTCATAAAAAATAATAATAAGTTTTGAGTTGTTAATTGCTCCACAAAGGTGCAAGATTTCCATCACTGTGAAAGCCATATTTATATTGGAATTATACTGAAATTGGAAAAAAGCTATATGTCCTAAAATGTCTGAAAAAAATTGAAATATAAGCCCAATGACTTCCATTAGGGCAGGCGTGTCCAAAATATGGCCCAGGCACCAAATGTGGAGCAATTTTTGTTGGTCCTCAAGCCTCCTGCTGAATCATAGACTGAACTTTTTTACTGCAAATTGAAGTAATTTTAGATAATTTTACCACTATAAACTCAATGACATCACATTAGTATTATGGCACAGACCTAAAATCCATGCCCCAAGCTTTTTTAAAGGCACAGTGGCTCTGTAATGGCCGTGTTAAATGCACTGAACTGAATGAGTCATTGTATTGACCAACCGTCTGTGCCTCCGTGTCCAATACACTTAAATAGGCCCTCAGTGAAAACAGTTTGGACAGCCCTGCATTAGGCTCTCAGATCATATAGAAATATAGTAAAACCAGGATTTTGTAAGCTCTAGTAATCACTGTACATATGGCATCATGAACTCGCATCATTTTATCAAACAGATTAGATTAGAATATTTCTCAAACAGGGAAGTGATATGATTTGCCAGCAGAATCCTTAAAGGTGCATTAAAGGTGAAATGTTCTACAGTGTGTCATTTAATTTAACTATCTCTATGGAGACAAGCAGGCCCCATCGCCAGACTAAATTACAGGTCAGATCTATGGAGAAGGGGGCACACTCATGGTAATAGTGTGGTAGTTTTGAGAAATAAAAACATCTGTAATTGAATAAATAAATAAATAAATGAAGAAATACTGATTTAATGCCATACTATAGGACATCCCAGGCAAAGTATTGACATCACCATGGACACAAGCTGAAAAGTAATGCACCTTTAATGAAAAAGTGTATATTTTTTAGAGATGTAACGATATCCAAATCTCATGATACGATATTATCACGGTGTGCATCTCACGGTACGATATTTCTTGCAATATTTTGAAGAGGCTAATATAATTGTTGTTGACACTTGTTGACGCTTTTAAAATACCTTGAAAAGATTTTGGTGTGAATTATTACCATCATAATCCCAAGAATTCAAGTAAAAAACATATTTCTTCATGTTGTCTGTACTGAAATGAATCATGGGATATGTAGTTTCCTATGTTTATTAGGTGTTGCTACTGTAAAACCATGCATTTAAGCAAAGGAACTTGTAATTTGATATATTGTGAAACTTTTGACGATACAATATCACGATATTTCAGTTACTGTTACATCCCTAATATTTTTATTTTTCCAGTACACTCCATATTAGTATTCTAGAAAATTTACAACAACATCACAAACTAATCATAATTACCCTGTGCTGTGTATGTATGCGTCGCTATGCAGATTTGTCCAGTATAGATTCATTTTTTTGTCATTTTTACATTACACATCATTAACCCTATTGACCCTGATAATATGATTGGTTTTAGTGTAATTGTGTGTAAAACTGTTATAAATATCACCATGTTTTTTTGTGTGACGGGACAGTTTGCCTTTCGCTCTACCCTCAAGGTCGGTAATTCAAAGTGCTACACATTCTGATGTCTATTTGCATAAAGAAATTAATTACCCATGCAAAACCCTAAAGATTTCTCTGGGTTTTGACGGATAAACAGTTTTCACAAATGACTCTTTAATCGTTAAAGGCTCAGAGACTAAATAATGACATTCATGCGTTAGGCTTTGACCTCATAAGTGTTCCAATTAGAGAAAACACGCCAACATGCTAGTCTCCGTAACAACAGTGTAAACATGCTGCGACCGGCTTCGCAAATGCGTAAAATGAAATGCCACGCTGGTAAATTCCACTGCGCGATTGTTTTACTTTCCACCATTCAAAGCAAGGAGATTAGACTTCAAAGATGGGAGGACTGTGCTTGTGTAATGCGCCCTTCGTGTTGAATACATGAATACTAAACATGGCAGGAAACACTGAACGGTTTAGAAAAGAGTGGAAAAAAACAATTTCTTTCATTCTCGCAGTCCCATGATGTGATTTATTTCTCGATTATTAGCCTCAGTCTTGTGCTCACTTTAGCCTGAGTCTTGTGCTCACTTTTCTCCTCTGCCTGTGTTCCAAAATTGCACCTTTAACCACCTGACAAGTTCTGTATCTCCAACTCAGCCCATTAGCGTGCTTGTTAGCGGTGCCTGTCCGCATAGCTCCACTCTCAAGATTGTCCTTTATCAATTCATTCCCACCATTCTTCTCTGTGTCTGCGTCATTCGTCTTCCCAGTCCCAATTAACATAACTGGCAGCCCGCCGTAGCACAAGACCTGTAATGATAACAGTCGGGGGGAAATGGCTGTTATCTGGAGCTTTGCATTTCTTCTGATGGCCTTTTCTACCAGCGGAGCTAATAACTCACTGGGCTTATCTTAACGCAGAGTATGTCCCACTGAACCCTACGCCCACCCGGCCAATCAAACGGGCCGAACATGTAACTGTGGCGACTAAGCGCTTTGATCTGAGGGCCTTCAAGCGTGCAGGCTGGTAATCCATTCCCACTGTGCACCACCAGTAGCTTCCCATCATTCCCCCAAGCTCCCACGGGTGCCCCACTTGCCTCCATGCAGAGACAGGGCAAAGCTGTTTAGCAGTTTGGCAGAGTGGCGAGCTGTAACGCCAAGACCACACTGAGAGGATACAGTAGAAATCATTTGGCATTCGGATATCCACTTCTCTTGAATCTCATAATTATTCCTCTTCTCGCTAGCTCTTCCGCTTCCTAATCCCCAATGATGCCTTCACCCATCCCGTTTTGATGTTTTCTGTAACCGTACATAATTCATCGGGAAAACACTGCATACATCCATCGGTGGAATGTAATGAAGCAAAAGTATTTCTGTTCTTAAATATGCGTTATGTAACTTTTTAGATGGGAGTCAGTCAGTGACAATTAGGGACTTAATAGTAACCGAAATATCGTGATATAGTATTATCAAAAGTCTCACAATAATATCGTGGGCTGTTACAATATATCAAGTTCCTGTGCTTAAATGCATGGTTTTATAGTAGCAACAGCTTATAAACATGGGAAACTACATATCCCATGATTCATTTCTGTGCAGACAACATGAAAAAATATTAATTTTACTTGAATTGTTGGGGTTATGAGGGAAATAATTCACACCAAAATCTTGTCAGGGTATTTTAAAAGCAAAAAAGAGTCATATTTACAATTATATTAGCCTCTTCAAAATATCGCAATAAATGTAGTACCGTGAGATTTGGATATTGTTACATTTCTAGTGTCAATATGTATGTATGTCTGGTTGCTTGTTTCTGTGGATATGTCAGTGCTCTGCCTGGAATGTTCCATAGTATGACATTAAACTGACCAGTAACTTGACCTGGTTTCTCCATAAGATTCAAGGCCATACTGTGAAATGTTTCAGACAAAGCAGTGCTTCTCAATTATTTTTTGTCACGCCCCCCCAAGGAAGATGAAAACATTTCGCGCCCCACCACTCCACAGAACCACTACTAAACGTGGACAAATCACACCCTGGCCTTCAGTACCCGACGTACGAGAGCAAATGTTTTAGTCACGTTTCCAAAGTGACTCTCTTGACACACGTAGCATGTGTCTGTGGGTATTCTGCGCTGTGCTCACTTGCGTCATGAGGCGGTCCGCTCCTGTGTCCTCTTTGTCTTTAAAGATCATGTCCGTGTTATAGTTCGGGGCACTTGCATCATCCAGCATGACAGAATCCGTGTCTAATGCTGCAGCACGATCAGCTCCTCTGCTTTTTGGTACGGCATCTTATATAATGCTAAATGTGCTCACTGGTTTACTGAAGTAGCATTCACAAAGCGGGATGATTGTTGGCAATATTGGACACGTTTTCGCTGAAAAAAAATGAAGTGTGTTATCAACGTGACTGGGGTACAATGTCTTTAAGCAATGCTGTAATTTATTTGGCTTCATGCTGTACGCTGCCAACATTTTTAGACACAGTAACCACACCGTCTTTCCTCGTTTCCCACCATAGTCACAGTGAAGCCGAGCGCTACAAACGCTTTATATACAGTTTGTTCGCTGCACTTCATATTTCCTGCTCTGTGCTGTGTGTGCGTATGCTCGATGCAAAAAAAAAACAATACTATGGCACTAATACTCTCAGCGCACACTCTGACAATAAGAGTGTCACTGCCAACTACTGTAGTGGACATGCAATTACACTTTATTCTAGTACGAACCCCCCCAGCAGCTCACCGCATGCCCCACTATTTGAGAAGGACTGCAGACAAAGTAACAACATCTCAACAGGAGCTCAGTTGGTATGAGCGTTTGTCCACTGATCTAAAGGTTGGCGGTTCAAATCCTGCTTTCAAGATTAAAAAAAAAAACATAATTGGTTGAGTGGTCAGGTCCACTCATGGTGTGATTCTAGCTCCCACAGACGAATGCTGTCGTTGTGTCCTTGGGCAAGACACTTAACCCACCTTGCTCCTAGTGTAAGGCAAGGCAAGGCAAGGCAAGTTTATTTGTATAGCACAATTCGTACACAAAGTAATTCAAAGTGCTTTACAGAATAAGAAATACATTAAAATCATAATAAAAACAAATCAAAACATGAAGATTAAAATTAAAAAAGAGAGAAGAGTGCGGAATGAAAACCTTTCAGTGTCTGCTTACATTGGTGTGTGAATGGATGAGTGGTTCCTTATTGGAAAGTGCTTTGAGTGCCTTGAATTTGGAAAAGCACTGTATAAAAATGTACCATTTACCATCTCCATGGAGAAAACCATGTGACTAACCCCCCACCCTTACACACTGCACCTTTAAGTAACTTTAAGTACTTCTTTCACCACTGCCTACATCGCCCTATATACTATCTTCTCTACTCCACCCTCCGGTGATTGAGTCAAACCTACCAATGAAATCGTTGCTCATTCCCAAATCATAGTCCCACACGGTGATCTCCAGGGTTTTCTTTGCCAGCTGGTCCAGGGACACTTCATACGAGAACTCCTATGCAGGTGGCACACACAAACACATATCCGTATCAATGATTCATCGGCACATGAAAGAGGAAGAGGCATAATGCTACAAGAGTATCTCAAGGCAAATGGAAAATGTAAATGAATGAAAGAGTGTGATGGTGGTTCTTCACTTACATTTATATATCCTTTAAAATCCTGTTTCATCTGAATCTTTATAATTCTCTAGAGTGAGAAGTGAAGCTAACATAATTTATTTTCATGATTATCTGATTGATTTTACGATGTTATAACAAAAAATGAACTATTTTGAATTTCCAAGATACACATGTTAGTTCATTTGCTTCTCTGTTAAGATGGCTGGAAAAATAAAGTTTTCTAACCTCAAAATTGTATTTTAGCTTCACAAAAAGTATAATTTATGGTGAAATGTGAAATATATGTGGAGATAAAATGGCAAACTGTAGTGGGCTCAAGTTTTCTGTAAGGATTTGTCCACTAAAACCTAAATCCGATTTCTTCCTTTGTCAAAAATGCTTAGTGTCTATCATAATCTCTACTTAAATTAACAAATAACATAAAACACAACTGTAAATGTTTTTAAACCGAGCTCTGATATCACTCACATATATTTGAGTGATTTTCATTTGCTATATTTTCCTTTGTATGTTCATATTTTCTCATATTTTGAGGCTAATCCCAGTTTTCCCATTAAAATCACATTATCACACTTCGCTTTTGCCTCCAGCTGCCTCCATGGCGGAATTTTTGATGTTTTTGTTTAGAATTTCAAAAAGGGTCTATAATAATAATAAGACTGTGATGAAGCTTAGAGGTCGAGTGGTACCTCATTGAACTCTGGGTTAAGTGTCTTCTTCTTGACAGACGTTTTGTACTTGGACTTCTTCCCCATATCTGGCTGCAAGATGCTGGAATAGAAATACAAAATGTTTAGCACAGAGCCCACGAAGAAGAATCGTAACAAGGTACATAGTCTGCTTCTGTTCACAACACAACTCCCACACCCTTGCAAGCTTTTCCATAAAAATAATTAAAAGCAGCAACTTTCTACAGCTTTAATTTCACTGTTATTGTCTTGTTACCATTACTTGAATACCTATTGTATTTATGCATTTGGCTTAATTCTTCAGTTGTCTCAATTTAAACACATTTAGACACACTTTAGGTATCCCTCCATTAAAAGTGCACTATGTAACTTTTTGGTTGGGGATCCTTCACCTGCTTGTTTTTATGGATACATCATTGCACTGCTTGGAATGTTCCACAGTATGACATTAAACAGTTCTATCTTACATTTATGCAAGTACAGGTGGTTTTATAGCTCAAAAATACCTAGAAAAACAGGCATTCTGACTGTGAGCGGGGTCGCCTCTCCACAGATCTGACCTGTAACTTGGTCTGATTTGGTCTCCATGAAGATAGGTTTAAAGGTTTAATACCATACTGTGAAACATTTCAGCAATAACGTCATCATGGAGAAAAGCATTTGACTGATACTCCACCAGAGAAGTTACACAATGCACCTTTTAATGTAAGACAATGCACTTTAAACATTGATGTAGCACCTTCATTTTTTAGCTACTTAATCTTTGTATCGTGTTTATTTCACTGTGTCAAGATGCATGTTTGTAACTATTGTCTAATATTTGATCATGTGGTTCTTTTCAATTAGCCAGGCTGGCGTCACCTAGTGCCTCCACTCAATTTCATTTCTCTCCAGCGACTAGGTCAGGAATCGGAATAAACTAGTCGATTTGCAATAACCCTGGAAGTGTGAGACCGTGCACCGACCAATCAGTGAAGAGCCATGAAGCCATGACGTCAAACTCAAGCACCTGTTTGGGTCCCTTTTGTGGTACAGCACAACAGTAAACAAAGTGGCCGAGATGAATGTAGACGAAGACATACATTCTGTGTTGGCAACGATTCCTGAGATCGAGGATTTAAAGCCGGAACAAAGAGAATGTTTGTTGAATTTTATCAAAAGGAAAGACGTTATTGTCCTTCTTACAGGATTTGGCACATTAAATACATCACCATCAAATAGCAACGATTGGTTAAATAAAAAAAGTACCCGTCTACTGTCAAGTGAAAGAATCCTAATGCTGCGAGGTCAGATGGTTTCCACAAAGTGAAACCAGCTGATCAGGCTACTTTTTTTTTTTTTTTTTTTTTTTACTTCAAATGGAAAATAAAGTAACCTAACCTACAGTTGCAAATACATGCCCTCTTTACTGTACTGGATAAATGAGGGATTACATCGACTTGACTCTTTCTCTCTCTTTCCAAATGTTGCCATTGGTTTCTGGTTAGATTTTTTTGTTGAAAAGCAACAGTGACACACAGTAATAGTGCACCAGTAGCCAGGTGTCAGAGCATCAAGGTTAGCTATCTGATTTCAAGCTGCTAATAGGCAGGGATGGACTGGGACCAAAAAACAGCCCTGGACTTTTGCCCTGGAAATTGGGGATCACTGGGGGGTGCCCAATTTACAAAGATTTATGCATCTGACCAACTAACAGGTCAAATGCATAAATCTTTGCAGAGAAAAGTATTTTATTGTGAAAAGCAACACAAAGTCCTCAGATAAATCCCATGTCCATGATCAGTATACAGGCCTTGCAGTTCAATACATGACTGATGAAACAGTGAGGTCAATATTTATTGTTTTGTGCTAGTGGGAATTTTTGGTTGTTTTTTCTGCAATATGACACTATAGGGGGTTGAATTATTAACTGAAACTATAAAATTTTACTACTTGGGATTTATGTATTGCAGTTTATGTTTTTTTTAACAATATTGTGCATTTAGAACCAGTTTGGGGGTAATTCTTCTTTATGGTTTGGTTTCATTATCGTTTATCCTGTATATTTACTTCAGCAATAGATGGTAAATCACTTCAAAATTTGTTATGGTTGTAGTCTTTATATTTAAATTGTAACCACATTTTATCCACATTTCACTGTGCAATACTAAGAGAGATCAAAATGCAGATTCATTATTTTAGTGAGATTTAAAGATGCAATGGAAGTGTAAACAGTGTGGCTGGAAATCAAAGTCTCTCACGATTCAATATGATACTTGATACAGGGATATTATCATGTATATTATATTATTATATGCCCATACATGTAATAATCAATATATTGTCTTTGGTTTTTAAGAACCAAATCCATTTTAGCAACAATATTTCTGTGTTAAACCACTACTTGTGCAAAGCTAATATGAAATACATCTTTTTAAATCATCAATACAGTGAATATGTCAAGTTTTCTTCCACTGAATAAGCAACAAAAATAAGCTTGGTAATATTTTGATACAGCAGCCCACGATAAGAATACCTTATCATCAAATTAAGTATCACGATATATTGATATTTTGATATTTTTACACATGACAACTTCAAAAAGGTAGAGACAACAGACTCCATGATCTGAACCACGCCAACTCAGTGGAAAAATAAGATAACTGGGGGCCAGCAGGAGTTGTCTTCAACATATATTCAGAATCAAGATGTTGGACCTCAGAATGAGATATCTGGCTTCTCCAGCCTTCCCTGGACCAGTGACGAGTCCCTGCCTGACAGCTGATGCATGAGATGGGCTTCAGGCTGTCAGTGCATGGCCCAAATCAGACCAGGAGAAAGAAAGATGGGAAAATGGAGGAGGAGAGGAAAGAGGGAGTAATAGTGAAGTCTGCGTATATTAACCCACAGTCCTGGAAATGCCATGTGAAAATTGACAGGCAGAGGCTGTACTATTATGTGTGGTTGTGTTGACAGTGTATGAAGTCATTAATTCTGACATGACTTATGGTGATCATAGCCTATTGCGGATCACGTCACACACAAATGGATTTTCAGGTTTTTAAATAACTGAAGGAAAAAGCAGTCTGGGAGAAATGGCCCTGAATCCACACATCGAGTGTTTTGACAAAATAATGAGGCAAAAAACATGTCAGATAAATCATGTTCAGCTCACTTTTTCATTCTACAAATCTTCTCTCCTAATCTAGTTTATGTCCATATAATCTAGTTATTAGACATGAGATGATATTGAAAATTTGATTGACAATTATCATGGACAGAATAATTGCGATTAACGGTCCTGTATTGTGTAACGGACTCTTGTGAGCTTTAAGCCATGTTATAATGTTGTTAAGTCATATAAAACATACCTGCAGTTGTGTTTTGTTTCATTCACACATTTGAGTAACCTTTCATTATTAGTCTGTCTACATCTTCGGAGCTCAAAATGCTCTGTCCCACCTTGTGATGTCATGAAGCAGTAGTTTTCAAATTCGCAGTTATCTTTTAGTTGAGAAGAGATTGGAATTCCAGGGATGAAATTATCCAAATGATTCTAGTGAAGGTGTATGGAGTGTAAAAACACAATGGAGCACTTCCTGTATTACCACATGACATCATAAGGTGGAACAAAGTGTTTTCTGTCTGAGAGAAGAACTCAGTCTAAATATGCAGGGTTTGTGTGTTAAACATGTGTGAATGCAACATAACACAACTCCAGGTATGTTTTTTATGAGCAGACAACATTACAACATAGACCAGAAAATATAAGCCCTTTAAAGAGTTTCTTGCCCTGTTATATTCAATGGATGAACCTTGAACAATTCGTCTGCAATGTGCAATATGAAATGAAATAGAAGCTGCACTATTCATAATCAGTTCCCAGTTTCCTGGAGACTATCTAATTCAGTCTGACATGTGAAGCAGTGTGCTGACCGAAGGCTAGCTGTTTGCTTATACAGTATTGTGTACAAAATGACCATTTCCCTGAGCCAATTAGAGCTTATCCTAAAATACCCTGGGCACGAGACAGGCTTTGTCTCTTCAGAGAGGAGAAAGCAGAAGGGGAGGCGGGGGTGCAGAATCAGTGGTGAGGAGCAGCCAAACAAAGGCAGAGTTTGACCAGGCGCCGCGAGAAGGTGAGAGCCCGTGGGACCAGGCCGAGGCGAGCTGTGCCAGATCACATTTTACAGGTGGCTCTGACGCAGCACTGACAGAGAGCCCCTTTCACACAAGAACACAACAGCATTTGACAGCATTGCTTACAATAATCATGAGAGGCCCAATGTGGCTGAATTACTGTACTGATTTCAGTGGGAAAAAATAATGTAGCTCTGTCTGCTGCACAGAGATAGGAGGGATTATCTATTTTTTGGGAGGGTTTATAGAAATGTGCTGTTGTGTTATATTATACACTTTAGTGAGATTCACAAACTGTATCTAAATATGTTTTTTTTTTTTTTTTTTTACATAAACGCTGACAGTAAACATGCCACATAGAATTACTTCTGGCAGTGGCAGAGTTAGCAATTTGGGGGCCCTAAGCGAACTTGAGTTTGAGGCCCTCACTATAATGCATAGTTTTTCTATTTTGTTTTGTTTTGTTTAGTTTTTTAGTATATTTATAATCTGTTTTCCCCATTGTTCTTGAGACATGCATGTGTCTATTTATTTGAATTACCGGTGGATTGGAAACTTTTGGTCTTATTAGTTAGGAAGCCAGCAAGATAACCAGAACTGAAAGTAGTTTTATTTTTTTGCTAATACAGTTACATTTTTATTTACACCCATTGCATACAATATTTTTTTTTCTTTTATGGTTATTGTCTAAAAGTAAACTACTCTCATTTAATGTCATACTGAGAGAGGTCTCGGCCATTAGTGACATTGAGGGCAATTGGTTGGGGGCCTCTCTTAGGCAGCCACCTACTTTTGCCTAATGGTAGCACCACCTCTGACTTCTGGAGTGCAAATGCTAAGGCAAAGTTAAACTTTAGGCAAATCATTAACATGCTGTAGTAGAAGCAACAGTGACATCACCGTTGTGAGTTTGCCTCCAGACCACAGGGTTGAAAGTCCCTGAAAATGGAGAGAGTCACAGAT